ATACATATTGTTACTAAAGTTTTATATTTATTCTTATTACATTTAAATATCATAGTCATCAGTTAGTTCTCAGTGAATAAGTCTATGAATTGCTTGGAATTTGTTAATATTTTTAGTATGATTAATTATTCTACAGGATGACTGAAAAAAAAAAAAAAAAAAAAAAAAAAAAAAAAAAAAAAAAAAAAAAAAAAAAAAAAAAAAAAAAAAAAAAAAAAAAAAAAAAAAAAAAAAAAAAAAAAAAAAAAAAAAAAAAAAAAAAAAAAAAAAAAAAAAAAAAAAAAAAAAAAAAAAAAAAAAAAAAAAAAAAAAAAAAAAAAAAAAAAAAAAAAAAAAAAAAAAAAAAAAAAAAAAAAAAAAAAAAAAAAAAAAAAAAAAAAAAAAAAAAAAAAAAAAAAAAAAAAAAAAAAAAAAAAAAAAAAAAAAAAAAAAAAAAAAAAAAAAAAAAAAAAAAAAAAAAAAAAAAAAAAAAAAAAAAAAAAAAAAAAAAAAAAAAAAAAAAAAAAAAAAAAAAAAAAAAAAAAAAAAAAAAAAAAAAAAAAAAAAAAAAAAAAAAAAAAAAAAAAAAAAAAAAAAAAAAAAAAAAAAAAAAAAAAAAAAAAAAAAAAAAAAAAAAAAAAAAAAAAAAAAAAAAAAAAAAAAAAAAAAAAAAAAAAAAAAAAAAAAAAAAAAAAAAAAAAAAAAAAAAAAAAAAAAAAAAAAAAAAAAAAAAAAAAAAAAAAAAAAAAAAAAAAAAAAAAAAAAAAAAAAAAAAAAAAAAAAAAAAAAAAAAAAAAAAAAAAAAAAAAAAAAAAAAAAAAAAAAAAAAAAAAAAAAAAAAAAAAAAAAAAAAAAAAAAAAAAAAAAAAAAAAAAAAAAAAAAAAAAAAAAAAAAAAAAAAAAAAAAAAAAAAAAAAAAAAAAAAAAAAAAAAAAAAAAAAAAAAAAAAAAAAAAAAAAAAAAAAAAAAAAAAAAAAAAAAAAAAAAAAAAAAAAAAAAAAAAAAAAAAAAAAAAAAAAAAAAAAAAAAAAAAAAAAAAAAAAAAAAAAAAAAAAAAAAAAAAAAAAAAAAAAAAAAAAAAAAAAAAAAAAAAAAAAAAAAAAAAAAAAAAAAAAAAAAAAAAAAAAAAAAAAAAAAAAAAAAAAAAAAAAAAAAAAAAAAAAAAAAAAAAAAAAAAAAAAAAAAAAAAAAAAAAAAAAAAAAAAAAAAAAAAAAAAAAAAAAAAAAAAAAAAAAAAAAAAAAAAAAAAAAAAAAAAAAAAAAAAAAAAAAAAAAAAAAAAAAAAAAAAAAAAAAAAAAAAAAAAAAAAAAAAAAAAAAAAAAAAAAAAAAAAAAAAAAAAAAAAAAAAAAAAAAAAAAAAAAAAAAANTGGCTCCGTGTGACCTTTGGCTATTTCTCAAGCTGAAAATGCCGCTAAAAGGAACCCAAATTTAGTCGAGAGAAGACATCATGCGAAATGCGACGGACCGGCTGATGACCATTCCAAAAGATGCGTTCCAGCAGTGTTTCCAGCAATGGCAGGAACGCTGGGAGAAGTGTATACATTACCAAGGAGACTACTTTGAAGGGGATTAGGGTTTTGTACCTCAAAGTCAATAAATTTATTTTTGCCGACCAAAGGTCCGATACTTTTTGAACAGACCTTGTACTTATGAGTTTCTCCGAATTCTGATTTCTAAATAATCATCTGTTTTCACATGAGAATGAATTAAAACTTATATAGTGCTCCCATGTGATTTTGGAATTTCAATTTGGAATTCAATTCAAAAGCTTTGCTTTTCCTATTGCTGTTCATCTCTACTCCTGACAAAATACAAGAACGATTCAAACAACCCAGATAATATACTTATGTGTTTAAATACAAGAGGGTAAGCATCTGGTAAAAATGCGAATACACAGTTCACAAAAATTATTTACAAAAACGCAAAGAATCTTTTGCTTGCACATATAGGATGACCTAGAATTTGATAAATGAATAAAAACCTCATTTTATATGCGAGTAAATACATTATATTAAATTTAGATATTTATATGGTATGAGTATTTGTTATTTATTTTCCTTCTTTTAAAAACTATAAATGAATTTTTTAATTTTAACAGTTCACTTATTTTTCCCATATTTGTTAAACTTGTTTTTTCTTGTTCATTATCACAGTCATTATCATTATATAATGCCTTGTTTTAATTATTGATTAATTACCATATTTTTCACCTTATAAGACACACCATTGTATTGGATATATCACATTTTTCACATTGATTTTTGGGGAAAAATATTATTCACAGTATAACTTACATTCAACTTATAAGACACATCCTAATTTTTGGATCAACTTTAAGGTCAAAAAAGCATGTCTTATGTTGGTGATACTTAGACCAGAGATTCTCAGATGGCCACTAAGAAGATTTTGTATGATCATCAGGTCAATTTTATCTGATTCTTGAATGCAACTGATTTTGCAACTTTTAACTTTTTTAATTTGCTGATTTTCATCAAAATATCTGTCAATTTGTACAGTTTTTGACTGAGGTTTATCTTGGATAATAAAAATATTTCTGCATGAGATTCTTATTAATGTTGTAATGTAGGAATCTTGCTAGCTTTTTAAAATCTATAGTTTTTTTTGCTAATGTTGTCTTGAAAACTGTAGCAAAATTTAGCAAAACAAGTAGTGTAAAAATGCTTTCAACATATCGAAATAAAATCTACAATTTTTATTATCAGCCAGTACGAAATTAGAAATGCTAAAACTTACTCATAGTCATACTAAAGTCACAATTGAAAGTGTCTTTGTTTTTTCTGGCACCATACAGTAAAGGCAGCTTCAAAACCAAAATCTTTTCAAGGTGAAACATTGATTGATATATTCATCAAATTGTAACATTTATTACATCTAGTCTATTATGTATTGGGTTTTAATGAGATTTATTTCACTAAAACCAATATAATAATAATTTCACTTAAAATTATTGTACAGCCATCTTGGTTCATTACACTTACACCTTCTACTCGTAGATATACCGTACAGTAGTCCCTTGTTATATCACAGATTCAGATATATCACACTTCTTTTGGTCCCCCAACTTTTAAAATATCAATTGGCATTGAATTTCTTTTTGCAACAAAATACAGTATTTTAATTTTACCATTGTCCTTGAAACTATCACTGCAGGTGAAACAATAAGTTTTGATGTTCAATATTTGTCTTTTAAATTTTCAGTTACTGTATTTATAATTTCTATTGACAAATATAAATTAAATTATATGAACTTGCAATTTATTATGGAATATAGTACTGTATAATAAAATTTCAACTGATATTTTGTTTTTAAATGTCATTGTTAAAGAAACAATAATGCTAAATGAGTGTTTGTGGTATTGATGTTTACATAAACATCATTTAATATGATCTAACCACTAATAAAATTCAGTATTGAAAAATTAAGCTTATTTTATATCAGAAATACTTGCTGATGAAAGAATAGAGGATAGAGATTCCATAGCATGTATAATCTGTTTAGTATAAGCCCAGAATTTTTAGTACTCTATTATATCACACCACTGGATATATCGTCTTTTTTCTTTGTCTCCTGACAAGTGCAATATAACAAGGGCCTACCATATTAAAGCATTTTTGAAGTAATTCTGAAATGTACAAAAACATCATTGTACAGGAAACTATCGTATTTGTCTAAGTATGAAATTTTCTGTCACTTTATTGTGAATTTGCAGACAAAAGTTGTTGCTGAATTACACCGCTTGTCGCAAAAAATGGAAAAAACTACCAGTAGTGAAATCCCTATACAATGTCTGTAATAGTTATTCTTAAAATCGGTAAGAGGTATATACATTATTAATTTCATACACACTTTTAATAAAATCTTTTAATTACTGTATATAATATCAAATGCAGAAAAATATTGATGTAGCCATGTAAATGTTTTCTGAAAATCCCTGACTTAGGTTATAGGTTTTTTAAATTCAGACTAAATTAACTTCTTCAGATTTCCAGCAAAATCTGATTAATGTAAATTAATTAATGTAAATTAATGCTTTTGACCATCTTAATGGTCTTCTTCAAGTTGTTTTTGTTTTAAATTGAACAAAAACAATAATGTATGCCTTGTTTAATGTGGCTAATTAATGCTACCCTTGATGCTACTGCATGTATCAAAATTGCATTAATCAAATATGGAGGTACCTCTGTACTTGACTGAGCAATCACCACTCTCTAGAACAAATTTTTGGTTAGTAACAAAAATTTTTATTTTAATAAACAAAAATAGCAAATTCACCAACACCTTATTTGCCAAGAAAAACATAAATATGGTAAGTAAAGACAGCTGTTAGATCTGCATTAATTAAAATTTCTGCCATGTATAAAAATGGGATTGCTGCAATTAATTTTGCACATTAATCAAATTGCATGTTAAGCAAGAGATACCTGTATTTAAAAACCAATGTATAGACAACAAAATTAGAACAAAAAATATGCATATTTGGGATTACAGTAGGTTCTGTTTTGCAGGCAAGCATAAAATGAAATAAGCACTATACAAAAAATAAAAATATTGACAAAACAAGTCCAACAGGTCATGGGATATCATAGAATGTTTTTCCAAGCATTGGATATAACATTTTGCTTAAATTTTTTTTCGGGGACATTCCAATTGTTTATGGTTTGTAAATTCATACAAACCAGTTTGATTTTTCAGATCTGTGTCTAAAAGTGCTATTTATCTGTCATAGAAGACTTTAAAAATGAACCTTCCAAAAAAATACGTTGTATATATAAAATTCTTATTAGGTAACCATTATATCTGTTACCTTGAGAAATTACAATGCTTTGAAATATAAACAAATTACTATTTTTTATTTTTCAATGCAGTTCACTTCTGTATTTTACATTGTGAATAATATTTTTAAAATACATTTCACTTGAAGAAAACTCTAATTATAAAATTTACAAAACATTTAATTATTATCCTGCAAATTTTAATTTTATGAATTTATTTTTTAGGGGTTTATATCATTTTATTCAAATGAAAGTTCTAATTCGTCATTTTGAAAAGAATGATATAACAGTTGGCATAAGATTTCAAGAAATAGCAAGGAAATTTTCAAATAAAGTATGTTTTTATTATGAAGATAAAACTTGGACATTTCAAGAGGTAACTAATTTAATTTTTTTAGCATAAAGTTTGATTTGATTGCTGATTAAAATTAATTTTCAGTTCATTATGTACAGTTTTATCTTAAACATTTCTCCATAATTCATAAACCTGAGCATTTAAAACAATATATTCAGCATCATCTGTAGATTGCAAACTAAAAGATTCTGACATGAACAGTAAAATTCCAGAACATGTAATGCATTTAAAATAAAAAAATTACATGCAAAATTTAAATTTAACAAATTCGGTTAAATGTGAGAAATAAAATATAGGTATTTAATTAATACTTATTACAGATTATTGGAATTAAAGATGAAAAATGTAATGAGTATATAATCAACCAATAAATTTAAATGAAGCAAATATTTGTTGTTACTTAAATAATATATTACACACTTGTTCTTCTGTTTTTAAATTTACTGATTTATTTATTAGATACATATTATTTTTCACATTTAATTTAAATATTCTATAGCTATTCATCATATTTTTGTACCTTATTTCTCACATTTAGTTCTGTTGGCTAAAAACTTTTTAATTTTGTATATTAGTTTTTAAATTTAGATATGCAATAGGTTATGGAATGATATTGGTCACATTTACCATCTTTTAATTTTTTACCTGAAGATGATTGCCTAATATAAATATCCATACTGGATATTAAAAGTTTTATGTAGTTGAACAATATAATTCAGGAACTTTACAAAATGCAAACAGAAAAAAAAACATTAAAATGCTTTAATGGAGTTAAAAAACTTAAATAAATATACAAAGTTGAGTGCTTCTGAATTTAATGATTCATCTTCAGGAAGGCTTCTGTGGAAACTGGCAGTGCTTCAAAAACAAATGTGACATATAGGAAAATGTTAGTTATTGTAAGGTTAGAAACTGAACAAAAAAAGGTTTCTTTATAAATGAAACACATATGACATTTTTTTTTGTTTACATTATTTTCTAACTTTCATAACATTTTTTTGTTCTTAACAGTAAAAAATTTTATAAAACTATCTTATGAATAGAAAGAAAATTTAAATTATAATAATATAAAAGATTGAATTATGGTTAAATATTTCATATTTAAAGTATATTGTGTTAAATAATATTATAGATTGTTGATGAATTATAATAAAATTTAAACAGAATTTTATTTGATTACATCTACACATGTGAAATACAGTCGACCCCCCCCCTATAAGATCATAGATACGTTCCATTTTTTAGGAATCCGATTTCTTACGAGTTGTTCCAATCACAGCCCGACACGTGTAAAGTTTACGGACTACGGCTGATTGAAAGGTTTTCTTCCATAAAATTAATCGATTCTAGACTAATCCAACTCAACATTTCCAAAATACGTATATATTTTTTGGAAACAATCCGTATAAACTATGCTATAAACAAAAAATTGTAGGATTACTTACCGAGTATGCACCATTCGACAACCCCATTGCTAAAGCTTGTTTTTGTCGCAAAGCAGCACACTAAACCACGGCCGATTTCTGATAATTTATTTTTCTGCGAAAACTTCGTTGAACTTCGGAGACATCATTAATATAAATAATTTTAATCGCCGTTGAATAAGAAATGTTTCTTTCACAAGAAATGTATAAAATTACAGTACTGTATTAGACTTACGGTACCTAATTTACATACTGTACAGACGATAGTTAGCGTAAAATCTCCGTAGCGTGGCGCCACGCTAGACGGCGGAAATTATATATTTAATTATAACAAAGTTACAATAAGTTAATATATAATTATATATACAGTACCTAATTTATATATAATTAATATATAATTATATGTACAGTACCTAATTTATATATAATTTATATAATACTGTCCAGACGATAGAAATCTCTCCGTAGCGTGGCGCTACGGACGGCGGGAAAGTAGTTCGGCTGCCCGATGACGTTTAACGTAATTATAGGGGGTTTTTTACTGTTTTTTACGGATACCGTCACAATTTTTTTGCAGTTTTACAGGAATCGTAATTATAGGGACCGTAATTATAGGGGGGTCGACTCGAACAGTTGGAGTAGGGAATATTGTAGGCTACTGCTAGCAAAACAATGCCAAATATGTAATCACTTTCGGTAACTGGACACCTTTGGTAATTCGACACCACTTTGGTCCCATACCTGTCAGATTATCAAGGAACAGCTGTATTTAAATTAATAAATTAAAATTGTGTAATCTATTAATAAGTAAACAAAGTTTAATTTTTTTTGTTTTTTTATTATTAATTTAAATATTTCTAAGCTTCAGCTAAATTAATATAAAAAGTTTTTTTTTATAAATTTAAATAAAATATACTTTTTTGTAAATTTAAAAGAAGTATTCTTCTTTACTTATTGATTCATGTTTAGTATTATAAATATGAATTATATAAAACTCTGAGTTAATTAAGTAAGTAGAGCTATCTGTAGATCTAAATTATAACAGCATTATAAACAGATTTAGTTTAATTTTCAACCATATTGATGTGGTTTCATACTAATATATTTTTCTCCATAGCAGTAGGATTTAGAATGTCCCATAAAAAAGAAAAATTATCTGCATATAAATTTTTATTTTAATCCAATTGTTAATTGACTACATTTTTAAGATACAGATGATTTATGTTTCAATGATTTAAATATATTGTATAATCTTAATAAAAAGTTTTAATACCTTTTTCATTATTTCTTTTGTCTAGGTAGAAGAATATGCTAATAGAATAGCAAATTGTTTTGCTGAATTGGGATTTAGACCTGGTGATGATGTTGCCCTGTTTATGTCATCTTGCCCTGAATTTGTTTGTATATGGCTTGGACTTTCTAAGATAGGAGTGATTCCTGCATTAATAAATTATAATTTGAGATTGGAAACATTGGTTCATTGTTTAACTGTTGTTAAATGCAAAGCTGTTATTTTTGAAAGTAGTCTTCAAAGTGGTAAGTACGCAGTTATATATTTAGTATTTGTTTAACATTCTACAGTTTTAAATGTTGTATGCTTAGTACTAACATAGAATGCAATTAAATTAATAAATTATGTTAATAATTTTAGTAATATCTAATGAAAACAACTATGATTAAAATGACAGCTAAATTTTTTATTCAAAGAAAGAAATTTTTTATAAATGTTTCATTTGGAATTATTAAATAAAGACTACATTCCAGCTACTATTTATATCTGTTTTCTTCATTGTTGAAAATTGATTGACGTAGAAAATCATTATTTTGTCTTTGTTCTTTTGAAATAAGAAAGATTTTTCATAAAGAATCTTAAATTGATTGGTTGTTGAATGTTGAATTGATTGTCAAGGTTTTTGGGCAGCCTTGTATCCTTTTAATAAATGAAAATAAACAATAAGTACAGTATTGTCTTGCAAATAAATTACAATATGTCAATTCTTTTGGAAGAATTTTCTTGAATTCATTATTTTTATTTTGCAGATGTATTTTGTTTGATGTAGGGAGAACAANACATAAAAATTATTATTATTATATATAAAATAGCTGTATGATTATATATTATTTTTCTTAAATGTATTACTTTAAAAATAAATTTTAATTTGTTCTAGATATGTTTGGATGGGGGCAGCAGTAAAATATCTAAAAAATGTTAAAGATAATGACATTGTATATTCGTCTTTGCCTTTATATCATACAGCAGGAAGCATTGTTGGATGTGCACAGTGTCTTATATTTGGAAGTTCTTTAGCTATCAGAAATAAATTTTCAGCTTCAAAATTTTGGGATGATTGCATTAAATATAATTGCACTGTAAGTTATTTTGCATTTCTTTATTAAATTAATATTAGAATTTGTATTTATTATTGTCATGTATTGTATGTATATATCAAACATGCTGTTTAATTTACTATAGTACTGAGAAGTAAAATGGGTTATTATATAAACTTTATACATTGTAAGATCTAAAATTTTACAGTTTATTATTGCAATATACTTGTCCCTGATGCATTGCAATTCAATTATTGCAAAGCATCAGGGACAAGTATTTAGTGTACTAGTTATATGATGTGTTATTTCAGGTTTGCAATACTGTCAAATGTAAATTAATTGCACATAATTCATGTGTGGTTGAATCACTTTCAACTAATATAGGTCCATCTGCATAGTTTGTAATTAATCAGTATGTTGTGAAGATTAAACTTGTTCTTTTTAATACTCAATATGCAGATGATAGTAAGAACATGACACATTATTGGGTTATTATTATTTTTAGTTTTAATTATATAAAATTAAACGTAACACTAATAAAAAAACCAGTATTGTTTCTAGTATTAAATAGAATAACTTCAATCTTCCCAACATACCTAGTTGTGGATTACAGAGATATGCAGCTGGACCTAGATTAGTTGAAAGTGATTTGACCAAGCATATCAATTATGTGCAATTAATTTCAATTTGACAATATTGCAGATCTGAAATGAGGCATCACATTACCAATATACTGTACACTTGCTCCTGATGCTTTGCCTATAAGCTTCTCAGCACAATCTCCTATGGTGCTTTACTTATGAAAGTAAAGCACCTTGTATACAGAGGTGGAGTTGGTGCTTTAATTTATTATTTATATAATCACATTTGTATTAATGTAATATGCTTTCCTAATTTAAATTTCTTCCATAATTTTAAGAAGCCAGATAATAAAGATTTTATTATCCAAAAGTTTATCATTTATCATTATAAATTTTGTGTAGCTTGTTTCTTACTTTCAGGAATTTGACATTTGTTATTATACTCTTGTTTCTTAAATACATATTTTTCAAAATTGTAAATTTTCATTTATAATGTTTTAAGTATGAATTAAATAAAGCTCAGTGATTAATTTGAAAAATGTTAAGAAAGTTGTTTGACAATGCATACAAAATATTTTATCTACTAAAACATTTCTTGACATGATTATTTTTTAATCACATTCATCATTTTTATTGAATACACTCATTGACAGAAAGTTACATATCAAGGAGGCTTTGGAATTGAATGAAACTTTATTAATGTGAATGTATGATGTAATAAGTGATTACAATATCTTAGCAAAGGGATAACTTCCTGTGGAAGAATTGTACAATTTTAAAAGCAATCTTTAATACCTTATAGAATCTTTTCTTACCTAGATATAAGTGACAATATAGTTGGGCATGGAAGCATAAAGGTACTGTATGCTGTCCTGCAACAGATTTGCTCACAAATGTTGCAACTTCTGCTCTAGATCCCTCACACTTGTAGATGACTGATGCTGGCACCCATCTGATCTAACAAATGCTCAATGGGTGACAAATCTGGAGATAAAAGAAATATGGAAACATAACAGGGATATTTCTGGGAAACTGTAGCTGTGAGTAGTCAAGCATTATTTTGCTGGAAAATAGCTGTTTGCCATTTGCCATGAAAGGCAGCTTAAGACTGCAGACATGTAGGATTTCCTCAATGTAATGCTATGCTGTCAATGTCCTTTGTTCCTTTGTTAGAGCTGTTGAGATGGTTTCCAGATCAGCATGCTTGGGACATTGTGTTGCTCAACAGTAAAGGTGTGAGTGAAGTGTTCAACAGTGGTTCTCCATACCCTAACGTAGCTGTTGTCTGTCCCAAACAAAATTGAAATTCATCACTAAGGACAATGTGCTGCCAATCTGTAGCAGTCCATGCTTCTCTCATGCATCACAGCAAATGAATATGAGAGTGTTAGGATGGCAGGATGCATAGCAATTGTCATGCATGTAAATTTGCCTCTTAGTCATCTGTTAATAGTATAGAAAGAGAGAGAGTTTTGTAGTGATGCTTCTACCTATCTCTGGATGGTAAACAAAGATGCCATTGCAACTGTTTACACTTGTCTCACAGTCGGTAATCATTTCTCCTAGTGTTTCGTCTGTCATGTCCAGAGCCTGATGAGTTTTGGTACTAATTTTTAGTTTTACAGAAATATGTTCTGCATATCCTGAAATGTTATTATTCTAAATTTAATTGCATTTGTACTACTAAATATTTCTGTAGACATTAATGAAAATGGATACTGTAATTACAATCACTGTGTGCATGTGTGTGTGATGTAATATTTATTATCTAATGATGTATGATTATTATTTTCATATGTCTTAGATCTAAGCCTACAAATTTTAATAGTGATCTTGAGCTTTGTTTGATTCTTATTGCATAGTTTAGTTTAAAAAAGTATTGTAACATTTATATAAAATAATTATACAGAATATTTAAATGGATTTATCTACTAGGTTAATTTTTATAATTGTTATAATTATAATGATGAAGGATTTTGAAATTTAAAAAATAACAATAATAATAATAATAGTGCATATTAGAAACGGAATTTATTGATGGAAATGAAACCAGAAAAGAAAATTAAATATTGATAAAATATATATTTAATATAATAGATCATTATTCCACTCAGTGAATTAAGAGCTGCTAGAGTAGGATTATAAACAATTTTTCTGTTTTAACTACTTGTAATCTTTTTATAATTATTATTTCATAGGTTGCCAATTACATTGGTGAAACGTGTCGCTATTTATTAGCACAACCAGAAAGACCAGTTGAAAAACAGCACAAAGTAAGACTAATGTTTGGAAATGGACTCCGTCCACAAATCTGGGAACAGTTTAAGAATCGTTTTGGAATTAAAGAAATTGGAGAATTTTATGGTTCAACAGAAGGAAATGCAAATATTAGTAAGTCAAATAAAATAATATTAGGAATATCATATTAATAATTAAAAGATATTTACACAAAGTTAAACTTTTATTTACATAAAATTGAATTGTTAAGTATTCTTTATCATAATGAAAAACATTATGATCTAAACGTAAAGTAGATGCTGTTGTGGGACAGTTAGTACATTGTATCAGGTCGGTCCACAAGTTCATGCATATTTTATGGCCTTGAGAAAAATCTTGTTTTGCTGTTAAAAATTCCAGTCTAATGTAATACTTTTTACACTGAAGTGTTAAAATATGATGTGTTATTTCAGGTTTGCAATACTGTCAAATGTAAATTAATTGCACATAATTCATGTGTGGTTGAATCACTTTCAACTAATATAGGTCCATCTGCATAGTTTGTAATTAATCAGTATGTTGTGAAGATTAAACTTGTTCTTTTTAATACTCAATATGCAGATGATAGTAAGAACATGACACATTATTGGGTTATTATTATTTTTAGTTTTAATTATATAAAATTAAACGTAACACTAATAAAAAAACCAGTATTGTTTCTAGTATTAAATAGAATAACTTCAATCTTCCCAACATACCTAGTTGTGGATTACAGAGATATGCAGCTGGACCTAGATTAGTTGAAAGTGATTTGACCAAGCATATCAATTATGTGCAATTAATTTCAATTTGACAATATTGCAGATCTGAAATGAGGCATCACATTACCAATATACTGTACACTTGCTCCTGATGCTTTGCCTATAAGCTTCTCAGCACAATCTCCTATGGTGCTTTACTTATGAAAGTAAAGCACCTTGTATACAGAGGTGGAGTTGGTGCTTTAATTTATTATTTATATAATCACATTTGTATTAATGTAATATGCTTTCCTAATTTAAATTTCTTCCATAATTTTAAGAAGCCAGATAATAAAGATTTTATTATCCAAAAGTTTATCATTTATCATTATAAATTTTGTGTAGCTTGTTTCTTACTTTCAGGAATTTGACATTTGTTATTATACTCTTGTTTCTTAAATACATATTTTTCAAAATTGTAAATTTTCATTTATAATGTTTTAAGTATGAATTAAATAAAGCTCAGTGATTAATTTGAAAAATGTTAAGAAAGTTGTTTGACAATGCATACAAAATATTTTATCTACTAAAACATTTCTTGACATGATTATTTTTTAATCACATTCATCATTTTTATTGAATACACTCATTGACAGAAAGTTACATATCAAGGAGGCTTTGGAATTGAATGAAACTTTATTAATGTGAATGTATGATGTAATAAGTGATTACAATATCTTAGCAAAGGGATAACTTCCTGTGGAAGAATTGTACAATTTTAAAAGCAATCTTTAATACCTTATAGAATCTTTTCTTACCTAGATATAAGTGACAATATAGTTGGGCATGGAAGCATAAAGGTACTGTATGCTGTCCTGCAACAGATTTGCTCACAAATGTTGCAACTTCTGCTCTAGATCCCTCACACTTGTAGATGACTGATGCTGGCACCCATCTGATCTAACAAATGCTCAATGGGTGACAAATCTGGAGATAAAAGAAATATGGAAACATAACAGGGATATTTCTGGGAAACTGTAGCTGTGAGTAGTCAAGCATTATTTTGCTGGAAAATAGCTGTTTGCCATTTGCCATGAAAGGCAGCTTAAGACTGCAGACATGTAGGATTTCCTCAATGTAATGCTATGCTGTCAATGTCCTTTGTTCCTTTGTTAGAGCTGTTGAGATGGTTTCCAGATCAGCATGCTTGGGACATTGTGTTGCTCAACAGTAAAGGTGTGAGTGAAGTGTTCAACAGTGGTTCTCCATACCCTAACGTAGCTGTTGTCTGTCCCAAACAAAATTGAAATTCATCACTAAGGACAATGTGCTGCCAATCTGTAGCAGTCCATGCTTCTCTCATGCATCACAGCAAATGAATATGAGAGTGTTAGGATGGTTTTTATTGTAACTAAAATAATTTTTAAATATGATAGTAATTCTTCTTCTGTAGAAGTTTGATATTTTTGCTATAGACTATTGTCTGATATTTTTGAAATAAAAATTGTGCAAATGAAAATATTCTGGAAAAATAATATTAAATTCTGAAACAATGATTTAGAAAATTTGTCCAAAATTTTATACTTAAGTAATTAGCTGCATTGCCCTTATCCATCTACATGTTATGATTGTAATATATCATAAGCATACAAATCTGTATTTTTTAGTTTTTAATGAACAGTACTTTTGAAAGATAGACAGTTGTAATCAATAACAACAATAACTATTATCTTAGATAATTTTATTTTAAATTTTAAATATTAATGTACTTTACTTTTTAATATGTAGTTTTTATTTTATGCTGATAAATGAAATTAATTATAATTGTTTTATCATCAGATAGACTATGAGGATATTTTTATTAAATATTTAGTCTGATTTTGGTCAACTGTTTTTTCATATGACTTATTTTTCAATTATTTATTGATCTTCTTATTACTAAGTACTGTACTTGTTTCAATATCTTAAGATTAGAATGTGAATTTTTTCTGTATTTATGAAAGACAAGAATTCCATTTTTGAAAATAAATTTTTAGGAAGAAAGTTTTAAAGACCTTGAATTTATAATTTTTAGATGTAATGAGTTAGATTTCTACAGGCATTTTAGCATTATATTTATCTATTAAAATCTCAGAGTAGCAGTTTTAGTTTTTTTAGTCTAAATAGAAGACTTGAGTATGTGTAAGTGTAAAATTATCAATTTATATAAGTTCATTTTGGCTAGAGATCAACATATTATAGTAAAAAATTTATCTAAAGTGTTGAATAGAAGCATTTAGCCCCCACCAGTGGGCGAGTGGTCTCCGTTGCCGCTCATCGTAGTGGTGACCAGACCCTAAAGACTGGGAGGTTCGTCGTGGGTTCGCGCCACGGTCGGACAGGCTGGCTGCTTGGAGTTTTCCGGGTTTTCTCCTTGCCTATAACGACTGAATAGGAGGCCAGTTTCCCATAAAAGTCCTCCCGGAAGGCATTTATTTCCCGCNAACTGTTTATCTGGAAACTTTATTAATTGAGAAATTGGAGCCATGTAATAGGCTCATTCTAGAGCTCCAAAAAATGTGGGTTTCACTATTTAATAACTTAAAAAATTAAATTGCAGCTGCCAATAACTAAATGTGTAAGTTTAATAGTGTACCATTTAAAGATAAAAAAACTGTTTTCCTAATTTCCATTTCTAAATACAATGATTCTATTGATATTGCAAACTTGAATAAAAACTGTGAACTTAATATATCTCAAAATATTTTGGTTCATTTGTGATATAGGATTAAATATTTTTTATACATGTGATAAAGGAAAATTTTCCTTTATCACATGTATAAAAAATATTTAATCCTATATCACAAATGAACCAAAATATTTTGAGATATATTAAGTTCACAGTTTTTATTCAAGTTTGCAATATCAATAGAATCATTGTATTTAGAAATGGAAATTAGGAAAACAGTTTTTTTATCTTTAAATGGTACACTATTAAACTTACACATTTAGTTATTGGCAGCTGCAATTTAATTTTTTAAGTTATTAAATAGTGAAACCCACATTTTTTGGAGCTCTAGAATGAGCCTATTACATGGCTCCAATTTCTCAATTAATAAAGTTTCCAGATAAACAGTTGCAGTCTTCACATTATACAAAGGTGGAAGATGCATTCCAAGGGTGTAAAGTAGTGATTGAGAACCCTTCTAGAACTATCTAGAAGGGTTTCACTGTTAATTAAATGTGTAAGTTTAATAGAGCACCATTTAAATTTAACATGTGCATTCCAATTAGTGCAAATTAATGTTAAATATTTAAAAGTAACATGTGCACTTCAATTAGAACATATTATTGTTAATGTTAAAATTCGTATCAATGTTCTAAACTTTGTTTTGTTTCACCTGAAGAAACCATTCTATACATGTGAGAAGTGCTTGCAATACATTTTGTATTTATTTTGTGTTTTACTCATCAAAACCTCATTAATACTGATAGACAATGCTCTTAAACTTTTATCTAATAAATTATTTTTTACTGAATATTTAAAATTATTTAATAGAAAAATACACATATTAAAGTAATATAAATGAATTAAATAAATACATATAATGTCTTTTTGAACAACATAAAAATTATTATTATTATATATAAAATAGCTGTATGATTATATATTATTTTTCTTAAATGTATTACTTTAAAAATAAATTTTAATTTGTTCTAGATATGTTTGGATGGGGGCAGCAGTAAAATATCTAAAAAATGTTAAAGATAATGACATTGTATATTCGTCTTTGCCTTTATATCATACAGCAGGAAGCATTGTTGGATGTGCACAGTGTCTTATATTTGGAAGTTCTTTAGCTATCAGAAATAAATTTTCAGCTTCAAAATTTTGGGATGATTGCATTAAATATAATTGCACTGTAAGTTATTTTGCATTTCTTTATTAAATTAATATTAGAATTTGTATTTATTATTGTCATGTATTGTATGTATATATCAAACATGCTGTTTAATTTACTATAGTACTGAGAAGTAAAATGGGTTATTATATAAACTTTATACATTGTAAGATCTAAAATTTTACAGTTTATTATTGCAATATACTTGTCCCTGATGCATTGCAATTCAATTATTGCAAAGCATCAGGGACAAGTATTTAGTGTACTAGTTATATGATGTGTTATTTCAGGTTTGCAATACTGTCAAATGTAAATTAATTGCACATAATTCATGTGTGGTTGAATCACTTTCAACTAATATAGGTCCATCTGCATAGTTTGTAATTAATCAGTATGTTGTGAAGATTAAACTTGTTCTTTTTAAACAGATGATATCACACAAATTTTAATTTTGTGCTATTGTGTCTTAGTGTTTTTAAACTTACATATTTTTTTAAATAGAGAAATTTCTCATAATTCAATAAAGTTACACATCTTAAGCTTTTGTTGTTGTTTAAATTTTATATTATAGTGTAACTGAAAATTATCAGAGTTCATAATGGTCCCCTTAACCTCCTGTTTGAGTGCTGAGTCAGTCAAGCAAGATCCTTTTCCAGCTATTTTTTTTAGTAAATTTAATCTAATTTACCTTACAAAATTTAAAATATTTCTTTTATAATAAACTTTTAATTTTCTTTAAATTGAGTTGTTTATTATTTCTTTAAACTGAATGCCTATATAAATTAACTATTTATATAGGCATTCATATGAATATATTTTTTCTATTGATTTTTATGAATATATTATTTCTATTGACATTCTCATAAAATTAAAAAACCATAAAAATTAAGAGAAAAAATATAAAATTGAGATTGTACATGTTTTCTAAATTGTAAAGTTTTATGATAAAAAGTAACAATTGAATAAAGATGAAAAACTGTAACTCTTGTGATTCACAACAAATACAATGTTTAGGAGAGCATCTTTGATGAATATATACAGTTAAATCTTACTTACTTAGTACATTATTAGAATAGTATTTATATAAATTGTTCATAAAGTTTCCATCAGATAAAAAAAATAAAAAAATAAATTTTTCAGTTTGTGATGATATAATCATTAAGCAAATAAATAATAATCATCTAACTTTATGAAAATGTAACATAATTATTTNTACGCACGAACTTATGGACTGACCTGATAAATAAAAATATTTTATTTTTCATTTATTTTATATATATATGTATGTATATATCATATTTTTGCAGATTGACTGATATGCCACATATAATTAGGGGAGACCAGCATGCCAGTTAAATTGCAACTAAAAAATAAAATTAATCAGATCTAACAAAACTAGTTGTTAAACAAATGTTAAAGAAAACATTCTTCTGAGTACAATAAAATAACAACATTGTAAATTTGACTGACTTAAAATTAGGAAGTGTTTTTGTTTACAGGACAATAAAACAATTAATAGCTTATTAACATTAGTAGTAGTAGCAGTAGTAGTAGTTAGTCAGTGTGGGTTGCACTGACAATCTACTCTGACCTTAAAAATAACACCTTCCTCACAAAGTAAATGTTGATCACAAGTCAGTGTAAGTTGAGATAATTTACAGCAAGTATCTGAAATTTGATATGTTTATTTTTTCATTTTTGGATCAAATTACAATAAAATAAAAATAAGAAAAGCAATTTCAGCATTCTATGATTATTTTACATGGTTAGAAATAAGATGAAATGCAGAAATTAAATATATAATCATAGTTTTTGATATAATGCTGACAGTTTCATAGTTTTAAAATAAAAACTTGTTTGTTTTAATGTGATGTAACTTGTTTGGTTTTTTTTTTATGTGCTGTCTAGAGAGGGATGCATAATCTCACTTAAACCAACGTGCCAGTTTTTACTGTATGGAAATCTTATTTCATGGTTTCCCCAGATAGACTGACATGCTAGACAATCTGCAAAAATACAGTATATTTAATACTACACATGAAAAGGAATGGATATGGGTGATCAGTTTGGCTAAAGATTATTCTTATTTTCAAATTTTGATTTATTGATGAAAAGTTTACAATGTTTTAATATACTTTGAGAGAAAGCTGACTTAATTTTTCTTAACTGCTTATTTTTGGTTACATTTATTTTTGGAATTTTGTTTAGTTGTGGAGACTACTTTACACTACTGATGAGGAAAAACAAAAGTAAATTAAGCTTACTGATACTTATCTGTTTTAATACTGTGTCTCATGACATTTACATCTGGAAGGAAGCGGAAAAATATAAAATAAAAAAACAGTCAAATCAAAAGAAACCATTTTATTTGGTGGTAAAATATTAAGTATGTTAGGTATACTAAATACTTAGATTGGACGTTATGCCAACAGTTGTATTAACTCAATTGAAAACTTTTAGATAAAAAGGCGTTAAAGAAATAAAAAGAAATGTTTTATTTCTGCAAGTGCTTTCGATGTAATTACTTACGTCGTCCTTAGGCAGTTTGAATAACAAAAAGATTTCGAACGGAATATTTAAATTTAAACAGTAATGATATTAGCCGTTTTGGAACTTAACTTTTAGGAATAAGTAAAATTTAAATTAAAAGTTTTTGCAAGCACGTAAAACTGATGCTCATGCGCCTTAACATACATAATGATGTATGTGGCAGCTATAAACTAACTGATATAAAAGGATGGTTATGATATGGCAATGTTGAACTTTTTAGAACTGTTAGACAAAGGTTAAACTGTGACATGATTGGAGTATTGTTTCAGCATATTGCTTGGTGCTTATAATTAATAATTATTGTTTCATAATTTGTATTTTTTGGATAACCATTGAGCTTATTACTAACACTGTTAATTTTTATAACTATGTTGTTCTTATTTATTATTATTATTATTATTTATTAAATAATCTGTTGACCATTTTAATTGTTCTTTTATTGTTACGCATGTGTACTTGGTATTTTCTAATTATTATTATTTTCTCCTTTTGCTTTCCCCAAGAAGTCAGATCTGCTCCTCTGACAGACCTTGATTTAAAGTTTAGTTAAGGGGTGTTCTCATGCTAAGATCAAACTTTATAATATTAATCTCAGAAGACAGACAGAACCTAGAGTATACATTGAAGTGGAGAGGACTGTTCTTCCAACAGTTCAGCAAGGACTCTCTTTTTTCATAAAAGTGCTCAATTCACCTCCAAAATTTTTGAAATTCACTTTATAAACAATAGTTTTAGTAGTGGACAATTGATATTTCCATCAATTTAATTGAAACATCAAAATGTCAATAAAACTTGAGAATTATTCAGATTTATTCTTTTCTTATAATATCCCATTTCTTACTTCTTGCATTTATTTTTTTATACTCTGTTTGTTTCAAAAGTCTGATTTCTGATACTTTGACCTTAAAGATATTTATGAATAGACTGATTCATTAATATATTATGAATATTGAGAAAACTGTTTTCTAAGGGTAATGTGAGAATACGTGGGTCAGGATCAGTACCCTAATTGCCACTTACACGTTGAGTTGGTAAAACTTGCCCACTTTGTTTTTTGGATGGCTTTTCATGAGTGGCGAGTGAGTTGAGCAAGTTGACAGGTGTTTGTGTTTTGGAGTGACAGGAGACAGCATTTATTATATGACTAAATCTAGATTACAGGAGTTTAAAGAAATCTAGACACGGTTAAATGCGGTTAAATATTAATGAAGTTCTATACAAAAAGGGTAGCTCTTAGCTAAGCCTATTCCCCTTAGCTGTGGAGAGAGAGTTCTCAGATCGCTATTAAAAATACCTCTATGAGAGAAGGAACTGTATGTGATGATTGGTCTCTAGGCAGAATCGTTGTCCGTGGTCTTCTCAACAGGATCAGGAACTCAGAGACTAAATGTGTACTATTTAAAGTACAACTTCCTTTTGATCACCCCAAGCTTGCTGTAGCTCTCGCTTTTATGCAATCGTTATGGGAAAGGGGTCGCATGATCGTCTATTGTTGACGATGACGGTGCATTCTTGACAGCTAAGTGTCAACTTTCCCACTGACTTCCGATCTGACTTTCCTTTTTTTTACAGGGATGTTTACATTTCAGAAAAAACTGATTAGCATTAATTTTAGGATCCCCTTAAAAATCTGTGGGCTCACAGTAATATTGCAATTTGAGTTGATCCATTTGCAATGTTTTCAGTTTTTGAAATGCTTTTATTTTTGTAAGAACTAGACTCAGAGCAATTGTAATCTTTCAGATGCTGTTTCATAAAGTATTTCGTGAACATTTGTTAATCTTAAAAATGATGATCAATTATTATTAAAATTTGCGGAGATATATAAATGTGAGATCCGACCTGTGTGCAAACCATTTTTACCTTCCTCCTAAAATTTTAAACAAATTTAACATATTTTAAATAAATTTATCGCCTTACTGTGAAAAAAACTCATCGTCAGAAAAAAAGAAATCAAATAACTCATTTATATAAATATATCAAGTAGCAACTTACAACTCTCCCCTTTAACATAAACATTCGACCATCTAACAATAGCATTCGTCTGCTGCAAGACTTAATGTTTATGGTTAAAGTCCAACTTCCAATTTATTGCAGCCCAGGACCACCTTTAACCCCACACCTGCTAAAACAATTGGTTACCTGACTAATTTTCCCACCACAAAAAAGTATAAAAGGTGTACTTCTTCTCCTCTCGGGGGAGTCGCTGATTGGGAAATTGCTCGAAGTTTGTCGGAAGAAGTTGAATACTGCTATCTTGCCAGACCTATTCCAGAACCCGTAGGACCTCTGGCAATTTACCGAATTTACAGGAGAATTATCATTCTGATAGCCTCTCAGGAGGTATGGAATATTATTGTAAACTCTCTCTCTCATATGGGAATTAGAAGGAGTTTTGTAAGCTTTAATGTCGTTAGTTAGTTAAATAAACTCTTCGTTTGTTTAAAATGGTGTTTTTATTTGACTGTACCATCATCTTATCGTCGACCTCTCTGACTCTCCTCACTCGCATAATGCATAACAGAACGTAAACTCCATCCTTGACAAGAAAGTAGGTCACCAACCTGTTGCTGGATAGGAGAGGCATTTCCAACCCCTCCGGCGGCTCATGTATAAATTAAAGTGTTACAAATTATTAATTAATACAGATGATTACTGATACTGAACTGATACCAATATATTAGTGAATCAGAAAGTTCCCTACGTTGGAATTGGTTTGTAGAGCATTTGATATATCAGGAACATTTTATATGCTAATGTATTGGTTCAGTATCAGTTATACCTCTATTAATTAATTATATGAATGTTATTTAAAATTTTTATAGTTAATTTAGATATTATTATTATTATTGGGATAATTTTCTTCTTTTTTTATTTTTAATAATTTATATTTTTCATTATATTACTTAGTAAATTATTCAGTTCAAATATTTTAATTATAAAATATTTTCAGTAAACATTGATAACACAGTAGGATGTGTTGGATTTACTTCAATGATTATCCCAAGTGTTTATCCAATTTCATTAATTAAAGTTGATGAAACAGGAAAACCTATTCGAAATAATAAAGGATTATGCATTAAGTGCCGCCCAGGTATGAATAAAATGTTTATTTCATAAATTTTGTAGTATAAAAAGTTATCTATAAGTATTAAATACATTATTATATTTTCTATAAATCTCAAAATTATATTTAATTAGTAACCACCACATAACATAATATATTTTCAGTTATAATTCTAAAAAAACTGCTGTGACCATTAGTAAAATTCATTTCATTGTTTTTATCATTTTTATCAATGTTCTAATTAAAATAATCCAAATTGCTATTAAACTTTTTTTTTTGTTTTGTTCAAATTGGAATGAAATGCCAAATAGATTAATAATTCCTTTTCAAATAGACACCCACAATTGCTTTAAATAATCAGGCTATATTTTGGAAATAGTAATTATGAATTACAAATAAATTTGGCACTAGAGGGAGGTGTTAGGCAATGCATCTGCATGGTAAGTGGGAGTTGCGGGTTTGAGCCCCGCTTTGGGCTGATTCTTTTCTTCCAGTTTATTCTAAATTAATTAATTTTTTTTTTTTTTAAGTAAGTNCCAAACCAGGAAGAAGTTGAACAAAAAGTTCTGTTGGTTACGGTCAACCTCTCACAGAAAACAACCTAATACAATGGAGGTTCCTTATTATAACTTTACAAACATTACGGTACCGGAGAGTATCCATCATACCTTGACACGAGGGCCGAAGTTTATACCTACTCCAAATTTATTTGTAATTCATAATTATTATTTCCAAAATATAGCCCAATCATTTATGGCAATTGTGGGTGTCTATTTGCTATGCATTGGGTTTTGGTTGACATTTTATTTGTATAATCCTTTTCATTTAAGTGATAATTGATAAACTTTATAAATTTACATTGTCTTTATTATTCAGTTTTAAGCATGCTTATTTAATTCAATTTCTTTTCTTTTAATTATGATTAACATGTAATCACTTTTGTTGTGTAAAACATTTCAAACTCTATTGATAACTCTGGAGATATTGAAATAGTTTAATACATACATTTAAATGGGAAGTGCTTTATAATATTTATTGATGATGGTGAGGTTTTGGACAAATTTGTTAATAAACAACTGTAATGTTCTGGATATGATTTTTATAATTTCTTATGTTTATTTTTATTTTAGTTTTATTAATTTTTTAAATTTCAATTTGTTAATTCATGTTTTGTTACTAATTAAGGCTAAAATCTAATTCCAGTCTCATAGTCTGCTTCCCTTCCTCCTTTGAAGTCATCCTCATCCTTAGTTGGGAACATCAAAGATTGCCTACTGAATCAGTTTTAAAAAGCTTAATAGCTACATTCTGTTTTCCTTTTATTGGTTTCATCTTGGCTGTGTAAATATATATTAAGTCGTTTGTTTGTTTGTTTGAGTCACATTTGTTTTTACTCATTGTATTGTAGTTTATTATTTATTATGCTTGTTGGGCTACAATTTTCAAATTTCAGATCTATACTTTCCCTCTGTTTGTCCTTTGTTAATCTCAAGAATGGAGTTAGATAGATTAAAATCGAGATGAGATATGGAAAGCTTGGAACTGGAGACCCTTATTAATTATATACGAACTTCCAGTCTGGACTGGAAGTCATGTGATGATTTCAATTTAAAATTTTCTCCAGAACAGAGTTAGATAGATGACTGTAATAACTTGATTGTTATGACAGTAAAGACAACTATGAATTGAGTTATGACATATATATGTCATAACTCAATTCATAGTTGTCTTTACTGTCTTGATAGGGTGGCTTAAATTGGTACAAAGTACATTTAGTGCATTCTATATTATAATGTCAATTCAATAGAAATAATTCAATATTGGTGTCAGAAATGTCAGATTGGGTTTTTTAAATGATCAAAATATTAAAACCAATATGTAGAATTTCATAAATTTTTAAATAATTATGGAAGGAATTACTGTATTTACTCGTGTAAAAGATGAGGTTTTCATTCATTTTTCACTGCTTCAAAAACCTAGGTTGTTCTATACATGCGAGCAAAGGGTTCTTTGCATTTTTGCAATAATTTCTGTGAACTGAGTATAGTTCATGCTGCCATTATAGATCTACAGTCTATTTATCATAAGTTGGTTCTTACTGTAAACAAATGAAGACACACCCAGTTGTTTATTGGTTTAATCCTATGTCCATCAATTAAAAACTGCATTACATCTCATTCGTCTGCAGAAAATAGTTCCTTGTTATTTATAAATCATTAATGAAATACTGGTCACTTAGCAATGATTATAAATGTAGTTATTTTATATTAGTTAAATTGTTATTTTTAATGAATATTACCACATTCTGAAATGGTACCACTGTGCACTGCAAAGACACCATGAAAGGATTTGACAGTATGTTCATTTGTCATATGCTTGATTCATTAAAAATAAATGTTTTCAGGCTATGTGCACTACAGTGTTTTGGTTTTGTTTTCCATTTATCACATATTAAGACAAACATGGTGTTTGCCTTAATACATGCATTTTATGATAATATTTTATTTGTGATTAAACAAAATAAAATTAGAATGAAATAATAAATCTAATTTTCTTTATTTTGATCTCTGAAGTCATGCCTCATCCTATATACGAGATCGTCTTATACGTCAGTAAATATGGTATATATTTATATATAAAATGAAGAAAAGAAACAAATAAAAATGAAAAATGATTATATACTTATATACTATGATGATAACGAATATATACAAATGGAAATGATGATAACGAATATATACAAATGGAAATGATGATATTTACAGATGAACTATGTACATTTATGTAGAGCAGGTCTAGTTTGTAAAATAGAACTTCTCCACAGGGTTGGAGTTCTATTCTGTTGTTGATTGAACAACTAATAATCAATTCAGAAAAATTGGTAAAGACAAATAATAAATATGTTAAAAATACTTACCAAAAGATGAATCCTGAGGAATTTTCTTAAATTTAGGAAATTTATCCCTCTTTGCTAAATGCTTTGTTGATTGAATTGCACATCGCATGCTATATCCTCAACTATTCTGCTGTATCAAAATGAAAAATACAAATAAATTGAAGCAGGTTGAATATCTATTGAAAACTCTTGATAACATATACAGGGTCTTTCAACAAGAAGTGTCATTTTAAATCAACAGAAAAACACAATATTTTTGTGAAAAGTGATGATATTTTTATTTTAATCCAAAGTACAAACTCTTAGGTTAGTAATGGAATACAATATCTGCCAAATATCCGACTCAGCTCTTCTTACAAACAGTCATTCTTTTGATGAAATTTTTCATTAGGTTTTCACATAATAGCGGTTGTATTTTGCCAATAGCAGTTGTAATAATGTCTTTGACTGCTTGAATAATTGCTGGAGCATTGGTGTAGACTTTACCTTTAATGTAGCTCCAAAGAAAAAAGTCTAATGGTGTTAAATCGCATGATCTTGGTGGCTAATTGAAGTCTCCATTTCGAGAAATCACATGTCCAGGAAATTTTTCATGCAATAGAGCCATTGTTTCATGATGTGAGGGACGAACAAACCCACAATATAGTGTTATTTTAAATTTGAATTATTAGAAACTTTAATCGATTAAATTCGAACGTTTTATTGAGTTAGGCTAAAAGCCATAAAATTTATTTCCCACGGAGTTTGTTCCTTGTTGAGTCGAATCAAGTTAGTCAGGGATGTGTCACCAGGAACTTTTGATGGAGAATCCATATTGGACGTGCGACCGTTAAAGGCCATCACCTGACCTCATGGAAAAAACCCAAGAGAAAAAAAAAAGAGAAAAGAAAACGATCCCGAGGTCAGTCGTCATCCGAAGTCCCTCTACAGAAGTCGTCATTCAAGCCCGCCCAACCAAGTCGTCCTCCAAACCATTAAAACCGTGCCCCAGGATTAAAACCGTAACACCGAATTAAAACCGCGACCAGGATTAAACCCGAGAAAAACATTCGTGCTGGATTAAGCCTCTACACTCCTCCGTGCCTCCACCCCAGTGAACGGACAAGATTCTGATTCAAGATTCAACGACAAGATTCAAAGAACTGTCCATCAAAGAACTGTCCATTCAAGATTCAAAGAACTGTCCATCGACAAGGTATTTATCAACCCGCGATTCGGTTGTAAACTCTCTCTCTCCGCGGCCTAGTATCGTTAAGAACAATAATATGCCGATAGTATTTAGTATCTCTGTATAGTATTTAGTTCGACTTAATTAAAATCGTTATTTATTTGTTACTATGGAGTCCGAGTAAGTTACTTCCGCGTCTCTCTCCTCACCTCTACTCCGAATCCAAGCGCTCACACACTACCGCTCGCGAATCTTTAGACGTAACGTCGCGATTTCCGAGTCCCCCAGAGACTCGGTGGTGTCAGATTCAGGTCTCCTGACAGGGCGCCAAAGAGGTGCCGACCCTACGGTCACAATGAGCTGTGTGGCAGGTGGTGCTGTCATGCTGAAAATAAATGTTGTCTGCATCCATAGCATCAATTTTAGGTCAAAAAAGTCAGTCAACATCATTTGGTAATGCAATTCATTCACTGTAACAGTCGAACCAGCAGCATTTTTGAAAAAGTATGGCCCAATTACACTGCCAGCCCAAAAATCACACCAAACTGTCACTCATTGTGGTTGGAAAGGTTGTTTGACTATTTCTCTTGTTTTCGGAGCCCCAGATGCAACAGTTTTGCTTGTTTACATACACAGACAGATGAAAATGAGCCTCATCACTCAGAATAATTTTGTTTAAAAAAATCATGATCTTGTTCATGCATTTCCAGCACCCAATCAGCAAATGTATGGCATTGTGTGTGATCTGCTGGCTTCAATTCTTGTGTCAACTGCAACTTATAAGCATATAGGCTAAGATCTTTATGCAAAATGCAGTGCAAACTGGCTTGTGACATCCCTAATTCCTGTGATCATCTTGAAATGCACAAACCTTAGTTTTCAGCCACACTCTCAGCTACAGTGGCGATATTTGCAGATGACCTGGCCAGACTAGCACGAGTTGGAGCCTTCACATCACTAACTTGTCTGAGACGTTCAAATTTATTGATTAAATTCACTATAGCTGTGCAAGAAGTCACTTGATGATGACCAAAAGTAGTACGAACTTTATGAACTGTCTCCACGATATTTTCACCATTTTTGTAGTGAATTTTTACTATTTAAATGCATTGTGCAAGTGTGTATCAATATATATCTGAAAACCTCCTAGTTTTTACTTGTCAGATGTCACCACAATGATAGTTGTATGTTGACAGTAGAAAAATGGTGTGAAATTTAAAATGACACCTCTTGTTGAAAGACCCGTTATTTATTATTATTAATATTGGGTTCAAGATAATCTGTACATAGAGCAGAAGCACAGCTTCTTGGAAACTTTCCTATCTCCCTAAGGACACCTTGATGTTATCTGTTAAGAAATTTCACTTGTAAGATCAAATCCTTGATTAAATAGTTGCGACTTAATAATTTACTGTTTTTTTTAAATGCAGTAAATTTATTAAGAAGGTCACAGAATTAATATAACAGCCTATTCCAATTGTCCTTTTTCTTTTTTGAAAATATTAGAAAATGTTTGTATCCTTCAAATTTACTGAACATTTAAAGGATTTTTTTTTTATCAATTCACTTAAATTATCATCATATAAAGAAGTCATTTTAAAATTCTGTGATGTAATTAAACTTTATAAATATTTTTATTTATTAAAATAGTTTTATTAATTTCAAGTTACACATAATTGTACCTAGATAATAAGAAATATATTGTACTGTAAGTAATGTTGTTGTTATGTATTTGTACCCTCTTTGTAAATCCAGAAGCCACACCAAATAAATGAATGATTTGATTGATTGATATTGAAATGAAACACAGTTTTAAAACATAATTTTACAATTTATTATACTCTGTATTATTATTATTATTAATCCTAAAGATTTTTTTTTCAGGTGAACCTGGTGAATTAGTAGGAAAGATTATTAATTCGGACCCACTTCGTTCATTTGATGGTTATGTAAATTCATCAGCAAATGACAAAAAAATTGTGAGAAATGTTTTTAAACATGGAGATTTTGCCTTTTTGTCAGGTATTTTATATATAAAAAAAGTGACTTTTTAAATTTGATAAAATCAAAAATAATATAAATTTTTACAAATACATTACTGAATTTTTTTATATTTTCAGGCGATACATTAGTTATGGATGAAAATGGTTACTTGTATTTTGTTGATCGTACTGGCGATACTTTTAGATGGAAAGGTGAAAATGTTTCAACTACGGAAGTTGAAGGTGTTATTAGCAAAATTGTTGGAAATAAAGATAGTGTTGTATATGGAGTTTCAATTCCAGGTAAATTGCTAATGTAATAATTAAATCTCAAAATAAATAATTAGGTTTAAAAAAATTTTGATATTTTTTTCTTTGATAAAAATGTTTATTGTTTATAACATCATCATCATTTTATTTTATTAACTTTAAATGAGGTAAACTATAGCACATTATATTAAATGTACAGACTTTCCATTTCAATTTAAAACCTTCTAATTTTCAATGTCCTTTTCAATGCATATTATTATTATTATTATTAATTCTAAAGATTTTTTTGTTTGGGTACAAATACAGAAAGAACATTTTAAAATTTTAAAATTGTTTTTAAATAGTGATTTCTTACTGATATTGAATATTTAATCATGTGTTGTCTGTATATTATTCCATAATTGAATAAACTCATGTAATACACTTAAAATATATCTTGAAGTTGTAGTGACTAATAATCAAAATTAAATTTTAGTTGAAAAATAGTAGAATTTTTACACTAGTAAAAGGCTTAGAAGTACTGTACATGCATTGTAAATTTTAGTTGTTAATAATATGCAGGGTTCATATAGACCTGGAAGTCAGGAATAAGATTTTTAGCAGAAAAAGTCAGGAAATCTACAAATACTGCAGAATCCATCTGTCGCTTTTTGATCTGAATATGTCTTTAAATTCAATTCAATATGGGGGGGGTCTAAGAAAACTGTAGTGACAAAAAAATGACTATATTTGTCATGTTTATATCTCATAAACTATAAACAATGATGTAACAATTTAAATTTTATTGGATAGAAGGTTTATGTCTGTATTTAAAATGGTGCATATTGGGGGTGTGCGGTTGCAGAGGGGGAGGGGTAGCAGTTGCATGTGAACACTGAAAATGGCAATGCTGTGTAACAACATTTGGGCAGCAAAACTTTGGATTGTGAAGATATAGAACATTGAAATTGGTGTTGATTTTACAGGATGATGGGATCTACAAAATATTATTTAGCAGTAAGTAATAACCGATAAAATAGAATTTGTAAAGTTATAAGCCGATAATTATGTAGGTTGGAGAAAATTTTCATAATGTTGAAGAGATTGGAAAGGAAATATGAACAGAAATGTAAGAAACATATATCATTGGAAAGAAAAATTTAAAAGGAACAGAAAAGCCCAGAATGACTAATGCTGAACGATGCAGATTACATATAGAGTGTAAGAAAACAGAGTGCATGAACTCTGACAATATTTTTAGTGCACTGCTGCCTGAACCAGGATAGATATTGACTTGGAATGTGATAACTACCAAGACTTTATTTGTTTACATCTTACCCTTCCTCTAATAACACAAAGAAGGATTCACTGCTTAAATAATTATAGTTGTGTCCCATTACACACAACCCTCCCAACTTTTTTTTGACCTGCATAACATCTAGTTAAGAAAATTTGATTTTATGGTGCAATGTGAGTCTTTTTCTTATTTAAATAAAATTTATTAAATAAAAGATTTCGTGATTATTTAAATTAAATGACAGAAACAAGACATCATGAAAAATCAATTATGTAATTAGCTAGGTTTTTTGTTTTTTGTAAGTGAATAAAGTGTTTTCTAATGAAAATTTATATAATTGTTTAGAAAATGGGCTTAAATAGGCTTTGAATATTACATAATGGAAAGGGGAATAATGTCATAATAGGTCAGGGAATAACAGATGGAATTACCAATACAGACCCTGAATATGTTTCTTAAAGCAAGTCAGGTTATATTAGACAGATTGAATATTTATGAAACAAATTTGATGAACCAGTATTACAAAACATTTACTATATGAAAATAAATACAGAAAATCTATTAGAACAGGGATGAGCAACATGCGGCCCGCGGGCCGCTTGCGGCCCGTTAAACATGTTTATGCGGCCCGCCAAGCACTTTTAAAATTGAATNAATTTCATAAACATTAAGTTATAGCCCAATAATTAATCTGACCTTACTGTTAGATTATTAAAATTATATAATTATATAGTTTGGTATTTTATGAATTTTCATTAATTTTTGGAAAATTTGAAAAATAAAAACTTTGGATAACCATGAGTAAATACAAAATTGTATGTAAACTAAAATATTCCAGAAAAACTATATTTTCCTCAGATGTGCTATTTTTCATTGAGAGTCATTTTGTTCAGCATCCAATTGTATTATGAAATTTAAATATTTTTTTGCCATATTTAAAAAATTCTTTCTGAATAAAAGCTATGTAAAAACAAAGCACTTTTCATAATCCCCATGAAAACATTTTAAGAAATTAAACTTAAAGAAATTTAATATACAGTTGACACCCTATAACACTGTTGATTATTCTGTTTTATATGAATTCCATGTTGTACGAGTCACTTAGATTTTACAAATATGTGAGCTGTTCACAGCCCGGCACACATATTGTAAAATATAAGTGACTCGTACAACATGGAATTCATATAAAACAGAATAATCAACAGTGTTATAAGGGGGTCGACTTGTATATGCAAATTTTAAGATCTTTAAAGTTTGCGATTTCATCATTTTTTGCCTATTAAACTTTCTTTTTTATTGTTTCATGATTATATTTAAATGTCTCAGTTTTGTCAAGTTGTGTATTATACATTTGTTTTTGTCTGTGTGAATTATAAATACATTTAATAATTTCACATATTGCACTTTATCCTAAATGAAAGTAATGGCATTTATTCTCTATTTAGTTGTTTGAGTAAAATATATACAAGATATTCAGAAAATAATGCACCATAGTAGTACCTGGTGAAGTAAGAATGCTGCCCAGCAAGCACAATATGCAGTGTTCTGTCAGTTGTTATGTTATGTGGAATTATGCGAAAATAGGAATAGTAACCTTTGTACTATATATTGATACATACAGTACTGATTGAGCAATAGCTACAAGGTTGTTTTAAATCAAGAATAAAATTACATTGTAGAAAAGGGCTGGCAGAATTACAATTTAATAAAAAGTAAAATACATCTGGATATGAGTCCAATTTTGCTTGCCATGGTCCAATCACCAAGAACAACTATTTCCATTGCAGAGACAACCTTTCTTTAGAGGCTATGCCTCTGCACAAATATGCAAAACAGTTTAAAATGGCCTCAGGTGACAATCCCAACACAATTAAAAATATAATATTTCTTTGTAGAAAAGGGCTGGCAGAATTACAATTTAATAAAAAGTAAAATACATCTGGATACGATTCCATTGTCTCTGCAATGGAAATAATTGTTCCTGGTGATTGGACATGGCAAGCAAAATTGGATTCGTATCCAGATGTATTTTACTTTTTATTAAAATAAAATTACATGTTAATTTCATGCTTTTTTGTTGAAACAAAGGAAAAAGTTTTCTTGTAAATTCCAAGAAAAATGAAATTATTGACAAGGACATTTTATCCATTTCATGAGGTTTTCAAAATGGGTGCTCTGTGCTATCTGATAGTATACACAGTGACTCATAAAATCATCTTCAACCTTCCTAAGCTGTCAATCATTATCTGTGTGGAAGCGTTGGTTATGTGTTGTTGTAAATCTTCAACGTTTTCAATTACCTCCAGAGCCACGCGACTGTTGAACAGATCCTGTCCTTTAGAATTTTTTATAGGGGCTACGTAATGGTGTCAAATCAGTGGAGCAGGGAGGCCTTGGATATGGACCTCTTCCACCAATCCACTTTCCTGAAAAAGTGGGATGTAACCATTCTCTAACTGGAAGATCCCAATTGGTGGGGATGCCATTATGTTGATATAAAATGATGTTATCAAAAGCAACATCTATAAGAAGTGGTCTAACATGCTCTACTAAGAGCTCCAAGTACTTTTGGGAGTTAAGGGTGTCATCAATAAAAAACAGCCCAAGAAATCATCAGTCTAGTAATCCAGCCCAAATGTGGATTTTCATGTGTCCAGTAGCACATGTTAGTGAAGTTTATTTCACCGCAAACATAAAAGAGTGCTTTGTCTGTGAAGCAAATTTTCCTGGAATGGTAGGGTCCTTGTTGCTAAGATCCATAAATATTTCTGCAAAGTTTATCTTTGCATTATGGTCTTTAGGGAGATGCTCTTGATGACATTGGGACTTCTACAGATGATAACGGAAACTCTTGAGAATTACATGCACAGACGTTGACCCAATTTCTGCCTCCAGAGCCACATGGCAAATGGAAGTAGTTGGGTATACTGTAAATGTGGCCATGATGTCCCTAGCTGCATCATCCATCATACAACTCTTGGGCTTCCCAGATGTTGGTGCATCATCAAAAGTTAGCTATCATTCTTAATATTGTATTATGTTAGGGATAGGGCTGATTGGGATGCAATGCATGGAATTGCACCATGACATCCCTCATGCTGCATCCCTGAAGTTAAAGTTGTACCATCTCATCCCATCACAGGCTGCACTCTGGCAGTAGTTTTTGTTACACTGGACAGGTATTTAAAGTCAGTTTAGCACAGACACGAAAATTTGCATAATTACCATAACAATGGATGTTTGTGATGTACAGTATACGAGGTCTGTTCAAAAAGTATCGGACCTTTGGTCGGCAAAAATAAATTTATTGACTTTGAGGTACAAAACCCTAATCTCCTTCAAAGTAGTCTCCTTGGTAATGTATACACTTCTCTCAGCGTTCCTGCCATTGCTGGAAACACTGCTGGAACGCATCTTTTGGAATGGCCATCAGCTGGTCTGTCGGATTTCGCACGATGTCTTCTCTCGACTAAATTCGGGTTCCTTTTAGCGGCATTTTCAGCTTGGGAAATAGCCAAAGGTCACACGGAGCCATGTGG